CCACCATGCAGGGCTTGAGGTGCTTGTTTAAAAAATGTGATAAAAAAAATTGCTTCCAGTTGCATGTATATAAACACCGTGGGATAAAACTGTAACAGCATGAGATCGATATGTAGGATGATTCCCACTGCACATCTCTGAAGTTAAAAAGTGTGTGATTGAAAAATAACTGCAAGTCATATAAACACCTGGGGATAAAGACTGACTTTAGACTTGGCAGACACTTAGACCACCAGCAGATGACGGTCCCCGATGATTTTTGTCACGATGACGTCATCCTGTGTACCGTCACTATTAAAGGTGCATTTGTTTAAAGCCTTATTTCTTCTGAAGTAGAAGAGAGGGGGCGGATTCACAGCAATGTCAAACAATGTGTCACTAGACATGTCTTTGGAAATGATCTTTTTTTTTTTTCCCCCTCCAATTGACAGCATGTCAGAAGTTTGTCACTAATGGGTTCCCCAATTGCAATCAAGTACCAATTAGAACGCGGGGGGGGGGGGGGGGGGGGGGGGGGGGGGGGGGGGGGGGGGGGGGGGGGGGGGGGGGGGGGATTAACAGAGATTTCCAAAAATGTGTCACCTGACACATCTTTAGACCAGATTTTAAACATATTCAATTTTAGAAAACCTCTGAGATTTAAAATGATGTCACATCAAAGGTGTATCTGAGGCCTTTATCTCAGTGGTGCACCCAGGATTTGGGTGTTTTTTTTGGGGGGGGGCTCAAATTTTTCGTCAAAAAATGTTGCCCAAAACTTTTGGCTGCAGAAAAAAATTGGAGTTTTATTTGGGGGGCGGACTATTTTGACATTGGTGGGGCGCCACTTACACCCCTATCATAGTACTCGAAAATAGGCCACATACATATCACCAAGGTAAAATCGTGGGACAAAAAAAAATAAAATGAACAGGACATAGGCTTTTCCGCCTTTTTAACAGATACGTGTAAAAAATTACTTTTAAAAATGTGCTTTGTCTATTTTTGCATTAGAAGAACATGTAATAAGTGCTTAAATTAATACAACATCAGCTTATCACGTCATCATGACGACACTTCAGGTTTTCAATACTAATAATTATTTCTACCTACCCACCAAGTTTCAAGATTATCGGACTGAGCCTTGTATGTGATTTAAGAAATTGCATTTTTATGACGTCATCGTGACGTTATCCACTTATAATTTGTTTATGCATATAAGTATGACCTTACGAACCTTATACAAGTTTAGAATACGAGTTTGTTTAGGGTCCAAAATGCCGCAGCTAAAATACATGTACAAAGTCTATGGGATTTGGGGGTGGGAACAAAAAAAAGAAAAAAAGAAAAACTAGAGCTATGCCTGTTCGATGAACAGGACACAGGCTTTTCTGCATTCTTAAAATAATACGTGTGAAGAAATACTTTTAAAAAATACTTTGTCATATATTTGTTTTAGAACAAAATGTAAAAAAGTTGATAACTTAATTTAAAAAAATAGGTGATGATGTCATCATGACGTCACTTCAGATTTAGCATACTATTAACACTTTCTACCTACCCACTAAGTTTCAAGACAACCGGACTTGCCCTTATAAGTGTTTTCAAAAATCGCACTTTTGATGACGTCATCGTGACGTCACACATTTTTCAAACAAAATTATGCTGGTACCTTTTACATAACAAACCGAACACAAAAAGAATTTTTAATTTAGCATGTTTGAAGCCAATCAGATGAACAAAAGTGTTAAACGTTTAAAAATTTGAAAAAAATCTCAAAAAATCTACCGACGTCATCGAGACGTCATTTCAGACTTTGTGTACTTGTACTATTATCTACCCACCCACCAAGTTTCATGACGATTGGACATTCCCTTATGTTTAAAAAAAAAAAAATCGCATTTTAATGACGTCATAATGACGTCACACAATTTTCACAATTTTGTGAATATACCTGTTATCTAACAAACATAATACAAAAAGAAATTTGAATTTAGCATATTGCGTTTGTGAGATATGGCTTAAAGGTCCAAAACTTCAAAAATCGACGTCATGATGACGTCCTTTAAATTTTTACCTATAACACATCCCGGTCTACCTACATGTACATACCGAGTTTCAACCAAATCAGACTTACAGTTCTTTAGATGTAGGGTCTTCAAAGTTCACACATTTAAGAAAACGTCACGTGACCCACGTTGACGTAATCATTCGTCACTCTTCGGGACACAAACTCACTATGGGGTCTTCACATACATGTATGTTAGGTTTCATTAGAATACCAGTTTGTTTAGGGTACAAATGCAGCGGTTAAAAAAAGTCTATGGGATTTGGGGTGAAATAAGAAGGGAAAAAAAGAAAAGATAAGAAAAAAAATTCAGAACAAAAACAATGCTTTTTCCGCTTTGAAGCGGAAAAGCAAAAAAAAAAAAAATAAAATAAAAATTGACAACCTCGAAGGGGGGGGGATGCTCAAGCTCCCCCTCCCCCCCCCCCCCCCCTCCCCCGGTGGTGCACCACGTCTTTATCTAAGGAACTATATAGTACTTTACACTTTGTTCTAACTTTATATGTCCCTCTATACCGGGATGTACATGTAATAGAGGTAAATCCATCAGATTTTAGTCCCCCGTGTAACCCCTTTAGTTCTGAACTTCACCTATATGGAAGGATTATTAATTAATTGCTTAATAATAACAGCCACGTTAAACACGAAAAAAAATTGAACCCATGGAAATTATAGAGCATTGTTTGCGAACTTATTTGATCTTGTAAGAAACATAAGCAATGACAGTGCCTTCTAATGACATAGCCAGAAACATTTCACATGCAAAGAGTGCAGGCTATGATACGTCTTTCATGTCAACTGCTAGCTTTTGTTCATTATTTCTCATCAGGATGCCAAGAATTCTTCATTACAGTTTTGTTCAATTAGAAATAATCAGGTTTTAGGTTTGGAGTTTTTTTTTATTAGATTCAAAAACTTGATTGGTATGTTAAAGGGAATATACAACATTTGCAAACATCGAAAAATAAAACTACCAAGTTTTTGCGAAATACCTTAATAGGATGTTGGTAAATGACAGTCTAAAGCATCCTGTAAAATTATGGCACCTGGTATACTGTCATTTTCAAGAAAAGTGGTATTTTTGTATCAATTTCCAACGCTGATCGGCCGATCAGCGTTGGAAACAACTGGCTTTTTTTCAAATACTGGCCCCAATTGACCATTGCACTTGTTTGCAATCGATTACAAACCTATGAACGGGTACGAGCCAGCTAGACTGGTTCCCTGACCTTACAATTCCCCAATGTATGTAAACTGCTCTGTTTCTTCTTATATGGAGTCAGGGGACCAGACTACAGGAAAATGATCGTTTTTCTTGGTTTTTATAGCATTTTCGAACCCAAAACCTCCAAAAAGTCAGTGTAACTATATTTGCTTTATATTTCCAACCCCCCAATTCCATCCATTTCTGAAAATTACAGCAAAAGCAAATGATGTATATTCCCTTTAAACCCTAGAGCAGAATAGTTTTGTAAACTATCATCTCAGAATAGCATCTTTCAGTTCTGCTCCCGCAAATTTTTTTTGGAGGGGGGGGGGGGGGGAAGGCGGCATCTGAGAGGAAATCACCCTTTTGGACGAAAGAGGTTTTAGGGCCAGTGCGTTTAAATGGCGATATTCTTGTTACGGATTGAGCAATTTAAGTAATTTTTTTTCATCTAAAAGTAGCTTATGAAATTGGCTTTCTGTCATTATTATGTTTGATGCTACATATTTTTTTAAATGTGAAATATATTTTTGGGGGTTTGGGTTCCGTTTTTTTTTACTCACCCTGTATTGAAAAGGGGAAACTCTGATGGTAATTACTTTGTTCACCTAAGGCCAAAAAAAGAATAGTTCTGCTTCCGGTTACCCGACCGACCCTATTTTTAGGCTGCGACCCTAAAAATTTTATCAGCAATTCCAAAAAAAACAAAAAACAAATGATTGAATAAATAAAAATAAAAACCTTATGTCTTGTCTGTCTTCACAAAATACCCCTCAACAACCCTTTTGCATAAAAAAATGCTTGTATTTATTGTTTTCTTACTTACATTCGCTATTTTTTCAAAAGAAACCTCCGTTATTTTTACAAATTCGCTGCGCGATTCAACTACTTCGCAATTCGATGTCTGTAATCACGTGCGTAATAAGCGCAATGCGGCGACGACTGGTTCCCGCCGCGCCGCGCAGGGGCCAATTATGAAAATGCGGTAACTAGTCTGTGCACGGCTATGCTATCGTTAGCACAAGCCTGGCTATGCAAGCGCAGGCACGTGCTCTGTCAACTGGTTGGACTCGACATCGTAAAAATGCTGAGAAAGGCATCGTAAAAATGCCAAGAAAACACCGATGGAGAAAGAACATTTTTGCAAGTTAAATCACAGATTTGATCTAGCTTGTCTGTGTATGTATTTTCCGTGTTCAAGAGTTCATTTTGAGATCGCACTACTCGTATTTGGAGTGATACAATGCAGTTTCCTGAAATGTTCGACCCATTGGCCGTGGGCCACACATGTACAAATGTACATGTACAGTGCATCACACACTTCGGAGTTTTGGCCAGCTCCCCTTCTTGACTAGCGTTGTGCCTATGGTGCGAACGACCTGAATTTCCCACAATTTTTTTACGAATTATCAAACGTAAATATATTGACAATAATTAAGGTAGGTTTTATTCACTTTTTGTGGCCATTTTGTGTATAGCTTTTGTAGTGCAATGGAAATAGTTCAGGCTAAAACTTCGCATATAATTGAATACCCCATTCAATCTGCATAAAAAAAATTGGCCAAAAAAAAAAAATTTCCGACCGACCGACCCTATTTTTGAAAGGCATGTAATCGGAAGCAGAACTATTTTTTTTTTTGGCCTAATCCCCCCCCCCCCCCCCCGAAAAAAAAGTTGTGGGAGCAGAACTGAAAGATGTTAACCTGAGATAAAAATTCTCTAAACCATTCTGCTCTAGGGTTTAACTTACCAATCAACTTTTAAGTGGGTAATAAATAACCGGTGAACATAAAACACGATCACTAAAGGGGTAACAGGGAAGACTAAAAAAAGGGGGACAAAGTGTCTTACCTGAATGCTGTTTGTCTGCACAATGCAATCCAATGAGTACTTCAGTTGTTTTACGGTACCAAAAGAAGGATTGCTGTATGTGGATTCCACTTGCTCCTATAATGCATGCACATGTTAGAATGGTACAGTTACTCATTTGATTACCTTGGACTTAACTTGTCAAACTGACTAAAATTGTACTGTGTAAATGTTTAACAACTGTTGTTGCTTTACCCCGCTCTTGTTCATGGGGCGGCCATCTTGTTATTGTTTCTCTACTGTATGTTACTGTTCCTTAACCCTCAACTGTTCTTGAATCTTACACACTAGTGTTCTTTAGCCTTACCTTAACTTACATGTACCTTTTAAAAGCAAAACAAATCAGTAATTATTTTTATATGGTATAAATGACTTCTCAGTAGATGCCTTTTGCATTCGCCAGCAACAGCTCAGGCTTCCTTGGACAGGAAGTGGTGTTCCATCAACAATCTTGCTCTTGTAAACTGGGAGATCACGTTATGCATCACGCCCAGTTTCATTGGACAACTATACACTTGTTGAGGTTCGATGGGGTACATGCATCAAATGCAGGGATTCCTCTGTTTGTATCCAACTTGGTGGTTGTCATTTCAGTATCCGGATCCCTACTCTGTTCATTAACCCTAAAACACCCTGAATCCTTCAAAATCCTCTTTGCCAAAGTGGAGGAATTTGGAGGATTGAAGTTACATGGCAAAAGTGCGTTACTGATTTAGTAGGATGCACTTTGTCAAAGTCTTGGTCCGGACCTTGTGTTGTTTTTGCTCAGCAATGCATAAATACGTGTATAGGCCTGGATTATGCTTGAAATCCTCTGTACTGCTCCAGGATGTCACTGGCCAAGCCTCAACATATTGACAGCCACTGCTGCAGGATTTTGCAGGATTCAGGCAGCGGTCACCCCTCCATGGACCATATTCAAGAAATAATTAAGGAATTTGCAGGACTGAGGATGGATACTATTTTTTCCATGAGGCCAATGGGAGGATTTTGCAGGATTCAACTTGCCGACTCCAATATTTCATTTCTAACCCAAGTTATCATCCGGAAACCATTTACCTTTAACTCACCACGGTGACCTTGACCTTTGACCTTTTTACCTCAAAACCAAGCCCAACCTGCCTACTTCTAAAGGCAACACCCTACCGAAGTACATGTAACAATCCCAAACAACATTTCTAACTCAAGTTATCATCAGGAAACTAAGCTGCCCGGACGGACGGACATCCCAGCCAGATGGACTTCCGGGGTACCTCCATTGTTGTCAGATTGTCCCTATTTCTAAAGATTTCGTTGCGGGTACCCTTTTTTCTAAAGATTTTATTTGCGAGGTACCTCAAACAAAGGACGGGTACCCCACAAGGGGTCCATGGTAAGCACGGACGAACATACGCCCTTACCATAGAAATCCTAGGTGGGGGATTCCCCTTTGTATGCAATTATATCCCCATTTGCTATACACACGTTTACTCAGTTTAACAATATTGCTATAACATACTAATCTCCAAATCTGTTTATTGCTGAAAATTGCAGCAGAAGCAAATGTTGTTCATTCCCTTTAAGGTCATCATATATATTAATTTTGAAGTGATTATCACAAATTTTGCCACACTCATAAACTGAAAATGCGTTTTTGACACTTTTTAACTTTCAGCCAGAGGGCGCTCGAACATTTCATGACTTCACCGGTAATATTTTTGGAAAGGTCAACCAGGGGAGAGACTAACATTGTTGAAAGGAAGGGTCATGTAATTTGACACGCACGAGATAAATTGAAGATCATGTATTATCAAATCAATTCCCGTAAAATTCAAGTTCCAGTCTCTCAAAGTTAATTTGTATATTACCAAATTCAGTAATATTTAGGTGTTGGTCCATGAGCCCAACACCCATGAGCCCAATAACCTTTTGTTATTGTAAGAATTTTACTATTATTATTGTTCTTCAAGACAAATTCTTTTCCAGATCTGTTTGTCAACATGAAAACATATATGAACTTCAGATGTCAATACATCAATGCACAAACAACTGAAAATGTGCTTTTTAATAATTATGTCATTATGACGTCATCATGGGTAACACAATGTCACTTGAATTTTGCGGGAATCGATATAATATTACCTGATCTTCATTTCATCTCGTGCGTGCAAATCACGTGACCCTTCCTTCCGGTTGAAACCAAAAATGCCTTATACTTTGAAAGTGCACAAAGATATGAACTTGCTTTCAATGGTTCTGGTGTATGGCTAGGTTGACCTTTCAAAAAAAAATGATTGGTGATGCCAAAAAGTGTTCAACTGCCCTCTAGGGGCAGGTTAAAAAAATTAAAAAACGCATTTTCAGTTGATGTCTGTGGCGAAATTCACGGTACCTGCTTCATAAAATAATGGACATGATGACTTTCATGCAGACAAGACCTGCAGACAAAAAAAAATTAATAAAATCATCAGACTGAAGATAAGATGAAAAGACCTTTAAACCTTAAAAAATTGCCCAAAAAAATCAACCATGAGAGATATTATCAAGATTTGGCTGTATATAGCACAGTTAACGTAACTCTTGAGCTTTTTGGTAAAGACAACAAGATGATGTCATTGAGTATCATATTAAAAGCAAATAAAGATTCCTAAATTTAATCTTTGAAAATCAATATAAAATCAACTGCTACAGATTCGATTTTGGTTTTGATGGCAGTCAATACAATATTGCAGGGTTTTCATTTTTGGTATTAAGTGCAAATCACGTGACCCTTCCTTCCCATTCGAAACGGAAGTGCCCTCTAATTTGAAATTGGCAATAGATATGAACCTGCTTTCAACAATGTTAGTCTTTGGCTAGGTTGACCTTTCAACAACAACAAAATCGGTGTCGTCATGAGATGTTCGAGACCCCGCTAGCGGCAGGTTAAAAAAATGTCCAAAACGCATTTTCAGTTGATGTGTTTAGCAAAATTTGCTATATAATGACCTTAAGGCAGACAAAACCTGTGCACAACAGACCGGAAGTTACACTGACAAGACCTTTAAACTTTAAAAAAAAAAATGCTAAAAAATCAACCGTGAGAGATATAATCAAGATTTGGCTATAGATAGCATAGTTAACATACATTTAGCTCTTGAGCTTTCTGGTAATGACATCACAGTGACGTCATTAATTATCATATTACAAACAAAGAAAGTTGAAAATCGTTATAAAATCAACCGTAACACAGATTTGAATTAATTTTTTTATGGCAATCGATACAATATTGCAGGATTTTCATTTTTGGTATTAAGTGCAAAATCACGTGGCCCTTCCTTCCTTTCGAAAACGGAAGTGCCCTCTAATTTGAAATTGGCAAAAGATATGAACCTGCTTTCAACAATGTGAGTGTCTGCCTAGGCTACACTTTAAAAGAATATTACAGGTGATGTCATAAAATGTTAGAGCGCCCTCTAAAGGCATGTTGACTAAGTCAAAAACATGGATTTACATGTAAACATACATTTTGAGTTGACGGGTGTGGCAAAGTATGTGGTAATCAATGGCCCTACACCGTGTGGTTGTTCCTACAACCTCTAGTTCTATGAAATTACTATTATTATTTTTCTCCAAGACACATTCTTTTCCAGAACTGTTTGTCAACATGAAAAGTGATATAAACTTCAATTGTCAATACATGAATGCACAACCCTGCGAAGATGTGTTTTTTTTGTGATTACGTCATTATGATGTCATCATGGGTCACGTGACGTCACTTCAAAAAATAATAAATTTAACCTTTAAAATTCAATATAAAATCCACCGTGAGAGACCGGAACTTAGATTTTGCGTGACTCGACATGATGACACATGATCTTCATTGTGTCTTGTGCTCGTCAAATCATGTGACCCTTCCTTCCGGTCAAAACCGGAAGTGCCTTTCAACAATGTTAGTCTGTAGGTGGGTTGACCTTTCCAAATAAATGATCAGTGACGCCATGAAGTGTTCAAGCGCCCTCTAGCAGCAGATTAAAAAATGTTCAAAACGCATTTTCAGTTAATGTCTGTGGCGAAATGTGCGGTAATCGCTTCAAAATTTTAATGCCTGCCATAATGCAGTCCACGCCTTATTTCTCTCGAAATTAGACTACGGCTGCTGCTTACTTAACGGTATCTCAAAGAAAGATCTTTCTCGTCTTCAACGGCTTCAAAACAGATGTGCTAGGCTCATTTTCCAGATGCCCATTTACACACATATATCTCCCCTTCTTAACCAGTTACACTGGCTTCCAGTTGCACAACGCATTCAATTCCGTACTATGGTCCACACTTACAAATCTCTCAACTCCTCTGCCCCTGATTACCTCTCTTCTCTTCTCTCAATTCGAACCGGGTCTCACTCTCTTCGCTCTTCTCATGGGAAATCTCTTGTTGTCCAGAGGACAAATAAACTCGCAGGTGATCGGGCCTTCTCTATTGCTGCTCCCCGATTGTGGAATAGTCTACCCATCCCTATCAGAAACTCTGATACTGTGCCAACCTTCAAGAAGGCTCTCAAAACCCATTTTTTCCCCACACCATAGCTGGTCGTACGCCCTTGTTGTTTTTCTGTTGTTCTTTCTGTAGTTCTTCTTTCTTTGTTTCAGCGCCTTGTATCCTTTGGCAATTTGGCGCTCTATAAATCCAGTTATTATTATTATTATTATTATTAAATTAATATAATATATGGTGACCTGAAAGGAAATGTGCAACATTTAATTTTGCAGACCTTTATGTAGACAAGACCTAAAAGTTTGATTACGTCATCGGACCGGAAGTTACAATAAAAAGACCTTTAAACCTTAAAAAATTGCTAAAAAATCAACCGTGAGAGATACAATCAAGTTTTGTGCTTTAAATGGCACTTTCATAATAGGTCTAAAACTTCCCCAGGTTTCCTTTCAATTGGTAAACTTGGAGATGTCTTGCAGCCCCCTTGAAATTTGAAGTTGACAACGCCTACGCCTTGAAACGTTCATTGAATGCCACGTACATTGTATCGTATGGCGTGTGTACAGCAAATTGGGATGATTGCATACAAAAGGGGTTTCCCCGAGTGTCTGGTTTTACGACTGTTTTATGTCAACTATTGAGCCACATGTAATGGCTGTTTGATGGACCAATGTATTTTAAGAGTTTACTAGTGTTTTGTACACGTTTATATGACAACTTGTTGACGGAAGCTCATTTTTTATTTTGTTGACGTCATATGAAACTCAAAAACTGGGCTGGCAAAAATGCCCAATTGGGTGGGTTTTTTTTCTAAAAACATGCGCATTGGTGTAAAGAAGGTATGGCCAGCAATATTTTGTATTGCTCCAATGGTATGCGACCCTTACTTTTAGAGATATGAGCTATTTAATGGGTTTGTGTAACGAATGTAGTTGACGAGTTTACATTACAGCAGTATATGCGTGCAGATCCTCACCTGACCCTTTTTAACTATCCTCTGTATAATTACTACACACGTTATTTTTTAACCCTCAACATTCACATCTACAATCAACATTAACATCGACATCAACAATCAACAATCAAAATCAACATCACCGATCAACATCAACAATTAACAATCAACATCAAAATCAACACCAACAATCAACATCAACATCAACAATCAATACTCAACATCAACAATCAACATTAACCAATCAACAATCAACAATCAGCATCAACATCAACAATTATCATCAACATCAATAATCATTATCAACAATCAACATCAATAATCAACATCAACAATCAACATCAACAAATCAACTTCAACAAATCAACTTCAACAAATCAACAATCAACAATAACATCAACATCAATCCACAATCAACATCAATCCATAATCAACAATCATCAACGCGAAAAACCATTGTTCTGTTAGCCTTGGTCAATGCTCTCGTCCATTATTCGTCCTGTACGTAACGCGGTCTGTCCACACTAACGGTTACAAAAGTGTGACATTTAGAGGGAACCATGGACAAGAGTTGATGCATAAAGTAATATGTTAAGTTTTCCGTCTTTCTTCATCCAATATCTTGGTAAGAACATTGCCCACCAACAAGTTTGATAAATTTCTCAGGATTCGAGAAATTACAGCTAGGATTATCTTCAAGATTTAACGTTCATAACATGGACAGACATTTAATTTTTTAGTGGTGGGAAGCAGTAAATAAAATACATGAATTATCATGATTTTTGTCCTAATGTAAATCTTCCCATTGAGAGATTGCCACTTAGTGGGGCTGTTGAGTGATATACATGTACAATTGTGCACTTTGTGACTAAAGCATGAAACTTCGCATGTTGGTTCTTCATGCCATGAAGAACATTTTCAGATGTGGAGACATTTAATATTTGACCTCTGGTGACCCTTGAGAGGTCAATGAACTTTACATACATTATTTATACTAATTGTTCTTGAAAACACCACTTTCCTATGACCTCAGTCTATGTCATAGGTCTTCAGGCAATGGAAATAATGGTCAGATGTGAAAAAAAATCATACTTGACCTCCGGTGACCTTTCAGAGGTCAATGACCTATATATACAGTTTTTATAGTAATTTATAAGATTGGCACTTTAAACCCCAACTTTTTCAAGACCCAATTCTAAAAGTTAGGTGTTCATGCTATGAAAAGCATTTTCATATGAAGGACATCTCATATCTGACCTCTGGTGACCTTTAAGAGGTCAATGAACTCTGTATGCCCTATTTATAGATATAAATTTATAAGATTTATTATTCAAAACCCAACTATTTCAGGACCCAAGTCTAAAAGTTGGCTCTTTGTGACATGAAAAGCATTTTCAGATATGGGGGCATCATAATCTGACCTTTGGTACCCTTTAATAGGTCAATGAACTTTATACCTTATTTTTCGTTATTTTTTTATATTTAATTGTCAAAACGCCCTTTTTCGTGACCCAAGCCTCAATATTGCAAAACAAAGGTATTGCACCTATTATTATACAGTCATGTAATGAATTGACCTCCATATCTCTTTTTTAATTGGCAGACGCAACATGTTGCGACTGGGATAGAAGACTGTTGGACTTTCTTTACTATGTAATATGTACAAATGTCTGACAACAGTCACTCTTCTGTACTTATTACTCTCTGTGGTATCTAGATGGACTTGGGTCACCACATTTTTAACCTTTTTACCAAGCCCAATGGTCACTGTAAGAGTGTGATTCTTGTCCAATGTACCTCTTGTATTCTCTTGTGCCCCTGTCTACGGTACCTTTCAAAAAAAGGAAATGGAGATCAGAGGTCATACAAACTTGTCCTTGGGGTCTGAATTCATGACATGCTGTAGAATAATACTTAAAGTACACTTGTTTTGAACTATTTAGACTTAAGTCATGAAAAGGTGGCATTTGGAATATTAAATATGATAAATAGCGGCAAATAGGGTATGCAAAGTTTATCGACCTCATAAAGGTCACCAGGGGTCAAATATGAATGTTCACACATCTGAAAATTCTGTTCATGTAATGAACAGCCAACTTTTAGACTTGGGTCATAAAAAAAGTGGGGTTTTGAATAGTAAATCTTATAAATATCTTAAAATAGAGCATACAAAGTTCATTGACCTCTTAAAGGTCACCAGAGGTCAGATATGAAATGCCCTTCATATGAAAATGCTTTTCATAGCATGAACACCTCACTTTTAGAATTGGATCTTGAAAAAGTTGGGGTTTAAAGTATTAATCTTATAAATTACTATAAATACTTTATATATAGGTTATTGACCTCTGAAAGGTCACTGGAGGTCAAGTATGATTTTTTTTTTTACACCTGATCATTATTTCCATTGCCTGAAGACCTATGACATAGACTGGGGTCATAGGAAAGTGGTGTTTTCAAGAACAATTAGTACAAATAATGTATGTAAAGTTCATTGACCTCTCAAAGGTCACCAGAGGTCAAACATGAAATGTCTCCACATCTGAAAATGTTCTCCATGGCATGAAGAACCAACATGCAAAGTTTCATGCTTTAGTCACAAAGTGCACAATTGTATCATATATTTGACCTTAACAGCCCCACTAACTGGCCAATCTCAGGTTAAACCTCTAGGTTTTTTTAACTACAGGGTGGCACATCTTCAAGACTTCATGTTCATAACAGGGACAGAAATTGTGTCACAAATTTCTGTCCATGTTATTAACATGTACTAAGTCGCATCATAATTTTATAAATACTGCACAGGTTGCTTTCATGTCGAATGATACTAATTCCTCATTGAATATGTAATATAAATGGACATTTGCTAGATTTACTATAACAAAAACATATAGTATGAATCAAGAGTGTCCGTCCATGTTATGAACATTATCCTTCATTTCATCTTAAAGATGGCCGAGTAATTTCCTACATATCCTGTGAATCAGCCTAATTATTCATCAGTCCAATCACAGATAATATAGGAATGCTTTAAAAAAAAAAATAGCAAAAAACCTGCTTTGAAATCCACCTCCCATGTCACACCCACAAAGTTATAAGTTGTAACCGTTGGTGTGGACAGACTCGGTAATCAATTGGCGGCATATCCTCGAGCGCTTTGCAGTGCATGTAAAAAATACAGCGTGAACAGCGACCTCATGCGGCCACTATATTTATGCAAATCAGTTGAGGACGATCGAGAGCCTTGGTTCAGTTGTCCATGTGAGGTTTTGGGGGTGGTGCTCATTATGCTAATAGCCTAAACTGACCTTAAATGTCGTTTTCTTATTGGTCGATCGTTGCATGGAAAGTTGCATAGCGGTAAAACGTGGCACCATACATAATGCATACACGCACGTTGTGTGTCTCTGCACATGGCACCAATGCACAAAAAAAATGTGGTTTCTGTCACATCCGCAAAAGGCGAATAGCAGCAAACAATTTGATGTCTTCAGGATTTGCCAAGGTGTGATTGGACACTCCACATTAGCCCCGCCTACACTTATCTATATTCTAAAGAAAAACATAAGCTTTCGCCGATGACTGAACCAAGGCTCTCGATTGTCCCCAACTGATTCGCATAAAAATAGTTGTCGCATGAGGTTGCTGTTCGCACTGTATTTTTACATGCACTGCAAAGCGCGCGAGGCCTAGGATGCTGCTGATTGATTACCGCGTACAGGACGAATAACGACGAGAGCATTGACCAAGGCTGTTGTTCTGTTAATTAACCAGACATAAACCTCTAGCCCAACACCGTGTGTTTGTTGCTTCAAACTCTAGTTATTATTATTATGGTTTTTACTATTATTTAGGTAACAAAATGTTCATCCATGTGACCAACATGATTATTAACGTCTGTCCGTGAAACAAATGTTATTTCAGACAAGATATCAATACTTCTTCATTTCAAGTTATATATATGGTTGAACAGTCTAGAAAAAAATTAAGTTGGGGTTTACAGGGCCCTTACTCAGTTGTTAAAAAGATACCGTCTTGTCTGTCTCAGTGACATACGTTACTTTCATGGCATCTTCCTCCCCATAATTTAAGCAAGAATAAAGTGTCTTTGAAAGTGTTCTAAATATTAACATTAAGTGTACTTAATTGTACTGAAACAAAATATTACTGAATTTTGTCATCTTGCTTTGAGTTATGGTTAGAGAAAGAAAAGTGTCTGTCCTTGTGACAAACATTACATCTTAAAGATTAACCATTGATAGCTTGTTAAATATTGCCTCAAGTTAGTTTTCAAACTAACAAGTATATAAGAGGGAAGATATGGACAAGCAAAAGAAGAAGGGAAACATTTACTTTTGGAAATTCCGTCTGAATGTCTCACAGTTGTAACATTTAACAGACCCATGGTGTAATAAACCCAAAGTAGCATGTGTTGAAAGGGATAAATGAACTCACCAAATCATCAGTCTTAGGTGCAATTCGCATTTCAGAGGGATCTTCTTTAAACCTGCTGGCAAAAAAATACAAAAAGAAAAATCAAATTTAGAGGCTACTGGTGTCTTGTCTTACAACAAAAGCACCCATGCTCTCCATCAGGGTTCAAACATACCACCACAACCAAACATGGGCCAATCTTTTCAGTCCATGCCTCATGCGAAAATGAAAGCTTTGTATTAGCAATTTAAGTTTATTTTTCAGGTAAAATAAATTTAAAAAAAATTTAAAAACAGACAGTACGGGAACATTGTAAACTTTACTCTGCAACTGAATGTTGCTGTGTCCCAAAAGCTATTTATGCTTCAAATCACTCAAACATACGGTTTAAGGTTTACATGTGGAGTGCTGTGGATTGTGGTTAAAGGCACTGGATTCGTGGTCTGTGGGTAAAGCTGCAGGTTGTGGGTTCAAGTCCAGCCGGGGTCATGGTGCGTGTGCCCTTGAGCAAGGCGCTTTGTCACTCATTGCTTCTCCCCACCCAGGAGTAAATGGGTACCTGTGAGGGCAGAGATGGTTACTGTGATTGAACTAGCTTGCTTGCGACTAACAGGCAACATCGAGCTGTATACTCCCCAGGGAGCTGAGATGGTATTTGGAATGTTTAATTGGCCCAATGATCAGGGGTTATAATAATACTGTAAGCACTGTGATTTAATTTACTTATAAGAGCGTTCTTAAATGCCGATAACTATTATCATTATTACGGCGCAGAGTGGCATTCCGCAATGATGCATGACGGTGGAATTTGCCTGGGATAACCGGAACTGTTAAAAATTCTTCGGTATCCTGCTTTGGAACCCGAAAGGGATGACATGCTGCCTTGGCAAAGGGTTGCCATTTTTTCTGACCAGCTATTGTTTTAAGACGGTTAGAAAAAACCCTGTCCACCGGGAATTCCGGAAAGGTTGACTTCGGGGAATCCCGCTCTGGTACACCTGTGCGTTTCTTAAAACTAGGCCGTGTACCTTGTGAAGATTCTGACTGTTCAGGAATGGGAACCTTTAATATACGAACCATATCCCACATCACTTCACGAAATCTATTATCGGTAGTCTCATAAGGATGACTCCCGGTAGAATCCACGTCGGACGGCCGATCCATCGAAGATGGACCCGGCTGGGACTCGAGGTTACCCTTAGGTGTTGCCTCGTGTGTATCTACAGCTGTAGAATGAGTAGGTGAAGGTCTCTTGGCGTCTCTGCGCGTAGCGCGGCTGACGTCCGAGTCCAACTCCTGCAATGAATCAGACGGGTGAACAGAAATAGCGCCGCCTGATTCCTGGTCAAATTCCCGATCTTCGGCCTCAGCTTGAGGGGAAATTGGGAGTTGTTGTGGCGCCAACGCCGCCAACTGAGCCGACAAAGCCTGAAAACCTTTCAGCAATAAATCCGATGTATTGTCTCTCCGCCCGCGTTTGCGATGACGTGGGTGGTCCGATGACTGGCCAGAAGTCGGCGACGTACTGGCACTGTCGCTCGTTGAAGAGCTAGAATAACGGCGGCGGCGGGATTTATGGGCCCGGCGCCGTTTATTCTTGGGCCGTGATCGATGTTCCGATCCACGGTGACGAGCCATTAAATCATAAATTCCCGAAGGAACGTCCGAAAGAACCCCGGGTGCCACCGGCACGCTCCGGGTTTGACCGGGCGCCACTGGTGCACGATTTTCAGGACCAGGTGCCAGGTTAAACGCGGCGGCCGTCAAACCGATAGGGCCCGGTTCCGCTTGGTTCCCCAGACCAACGGACGGGGCCGAACGTAAACGCAATGGGCCGATCGGTTTTTGTTTCTTCGGTTTTGCGCCCTCAACCGGTGGCTGAGGACAATCCGGGGAATCCCCTTCGGTCGCCGGGATTGCCGACGTAGACCGATGTTTTTCTCGGTTTGCCGACTCATTGGCCCAGGAGCTCGCAGACTTCCGTCTGGCCCCGGTTTGAACCGAGTCAGGGCCGGTGGTTTTCGGCGCATCGCGCCCACCACCGGTCCTTTTCCTTCCCTTATGGGGACTGGCCTGCGACACTTCCGTGCCCGAAACCTGTCCCCGGGAAAGACTTGCGGCACTGGAACCCTCGGCCATCGGCCCGGCTCCAGTCCGCGAAAGCCCCGTCGCGCGTCCGGTAGGATCGGTAAAACCAATACCACGAACGGACCGCGGTGGCTCCGTACTTACCCGCTTCGATGACTTCTTTTTCTTTCCAGAAGTGGTCGAAGCTTTACTTCTTGCCGAGTCTGTAGATTTCGCTAGCCAGGTGTCAATCTTCGTCCACATTTCGGAGCCCCATGGCTCGCAAATGGAACACCTAAGAGCTCTAGAACATGGCCTACACTTAGGACATAATTCGTTGGAGTCGTCTAGGCTATTCGGCAAAATCTTGTGACATTTATCACAAGTCACGAAATTTTTGGGAGGCATTTTATCAAAGACCCCAAAAACCAGAACAGTCTCAGAACTATAGTAGGATTTTCTTCAAACTGTAAGGATAAAAAAATACGTATCCTTTAATGTACAATGTATACACGCAAAAACACGAGGTCATAAAACGAAATAAAAACGTTTATAAAACTCGTCTAAAAAACAAACAAATGTAACCAGAAAAACACCTAGTGCTTCCGAGAAACAAATGTACTGCAAATCTTGAGAAAATTAATAACAAATAGCGATTAAATCCAGTAAAAACGTGCATGCTACTGTGAGCATTGAAAAACACGTCCTACCGACACGAGCGCTAAAGAAAAGAGGACGATAATGGCGGGGGCTCTGACTATTGTGGGCGCTGGCGCAGGAGGGCGCTGTGGCACACTATAGCAAATCTTTACTTTAGCGGTTAATTTACATAGTTAAGGAAATATGCATTTATAGGTCCAACAGGTAAGTAGGACACGAAGTGGACATCGATGACGTCGTCACTGGACCGTGGGAATGTCAGCAGAGGCAACATTTTGGACACTTTTTTTCACGAAGTGGCCAGCTTCAACAACAACGTCCCCTCCCAATGAAACATCCACTCCTGAGACCAAGCAAGATGGCTGCCACTGTCAACAAGATGTCCACCAAAAGCTGGACAAGATCATGGCATCTAGGTTGTAAACTCTTGATTCAAGTTCCAATAGATAACGTCAAAGGTAGATGATCACAAAAAGACCATCTCCGAACTGAAAACGGCAGTGGAATTCGCTAACAAGGAAAACAAGGATCTGGTAGCGCTGATCAACAACAGATGTGGTGGCAACTACCAAAACATTGATAAACTTACCAACCAGATTGAAGATCTACAGAACAGGAGCCGGCGTAACAACATCATCATCCACGGTGTTCCGGAGGGGGCTGAGGGAGACAAGACTAGTGAGGAATTTGTGTCTGAATTCCTCACAAATCATATGAAGTTGGAAGGTGCCGAAGATGTGGAGATTGAACGGGCCCATCGAACCCCAGCACATAGACCGGCCAATCAAGCCACAACTCCGGCCACAACAAGCCTTCGAAGACCAAGACCAATCCATTGTAAGCTACTCCGCTACGGGGACAGGCAGTTCATCCTAAAAAATGCAGCGAAGCTCCTGAGAGGCAACAAGTACCAGGGTTCAACAATCTACATATCAGATGATGTCTCAACCAGGGTCCAGGATTTCCGTAGGAAGCTGCAGGAAGACAATCTACCGACCATCCGACGAGATGAGCGCGTACAATTCGCCTACATCCCTATTCCGCCATTAATCAGATACAAGCTGCACACCGGGGAATTCAAGACCTACACGGGGAAGTAGACGAAACACTCATGCACATTAACTCATACTTCATGTTTTATTTTACACCTTAAAATTTGTTCTGTATTTTGTATTTCATTTCAACCGATTGATACTATGTTGTTTACTACCGGTGTTCAGTAACCATGGTTATACTTGAAGAATATGCCTTTGTCATCATGAATAGAGATTCCCTAACAGTAACACGTAAGCGTTTCCGACTCACATTAGCATTTAAATGCAACATACAATGTAGAGCTTTATACAACTTCCGAATGCCAGTTACTAATCACCTGGATCGTACTCGTAACAAGACTTGCGCTCTATAAGCGTACACAATCCAAGACTGAAGGCGACACAGCGGCTTTCTCGAATCTGTCTAAAGGGAGAAGTATTTTATGACCTTTCTGTGTAATTTATAGCCTCACGCTTTTATTACGTGTTCATGTTATCATTGTTTACATCTCTGTGTGTTGTCCGTGTGTGCAGGAGTAAAGCATTGCTGTATGTACCTGATCATATGAAATTAACTACGATACTGTTGTGACAACTAGCATAGATCCTGATATAAACTTTCAAGCTCCTACTATTAATTGTGATTACTATGATCAAGAACAATTTGTAAATTGCATGTAACAAAAATAAATGTTCAAACCTGAAATTACTACACATTAATGCACGCAGCCTACCTAAAAATATTACTAGTATTTTTAACCGTGTAAATGTTTTAGAAAACACATTTCCAGTGATTGGAATATCTGAAACATGGTTAAAAGACATCCAACATCCACTAGTCCAAATTCAGAATTTTTCTCTAGAAGGATTCTACAGACCAAGCAAAAGAGGTGGTGGGGTGGCACTTTACATTAGAGACGATATAGTGTATAAGATTCGCAATGATATATCAGTGAACAATTTGGATATAGAATCATGTTTTATTGAGCTTGTTAACGACCACAATAGCAACGTGGTTATTGGAGTTGTGTACAAATCACCAAGTGCCTCATTTAATGCTTTTATGGAACACATCAATGAAATATTGACATGTGTAAACAATGACAATAAAAAGTGTTATATTATGGGCGACTTTAATATTGATATTATGCAGTATGACACAGACAATACTGTACGTGATTTTATGGATAATATACATTCCCAATATACATTCCCAATCGTTTTATTCTACTATAAATAAACCCACAAGGGTAACTGCTAATACTTCGACTGTCATTGACAATATCTTAACGAATGATTTTCTTAATCATCA